TACAAAAATCACTAGTTTTGAAACATGTGACACCGAACAAATCACTAGTTTCGTTACGTTTCTCGAAAATGACGTAACGACTCACGCCTACGCTCAGATGTCAATTCGATGTAAAAACAATAAAGTATCTCATTGCTCCTCAAGGTCAAGAGAAAAATCAATTCATTTCTATTATTCCTTGTACAAATAAGTGGTAATTAATAATTCTGTTTATTATTTTTTTATTTCAAAGTTGGTTTTGATATCGTGTTTACGGTAAAATACTTAGAGTATTTCTATATAAACTAACGTAAATGAACTGTGTATTGACAACACAGCGACGCCATATTAGGTAAGCCACTTGCTTCGACCAATAATGTGCGTTTTAGAACTAAGAGAGGGAGTTTTAAAAAAGACACTTTTTAATGATTAGATTTTGCTACTAAATCACATTATATTTGAAAAAGTCTTTGCAGGTATGTTTTTATAGCAATAAAGTATATTGTAAAAAAGTTTGGTACAATTTGGCGTCATATGCATATTGCCTATTAAATAGTCTTTGTAGCAAACTTTTAGCAATGCACTATCCTAAAACAGGGAAGGAATATCCTTAACATAATAGAAATTGCGCTCTACTACAACTTAGCGCTCGACTACAGAATAATATAAATCTTAATGATTGTTTGTTGTTACAACAGAACCGACTTTCAAACAAAATATTCTCAAAAAAACAATACACTAAAAAGTAACGAAATAATTCCTTGAAAATAGTAAACCTCCTTTATTGTAGCTGTTATGTCTATTGTACAATTATTATTACTTTAAATCGGTGTAGATTCAATGTAGATTCATTACTTAAACGTTACTATACTTTCAATTGTCAATTGTTATGGTAAAAATTTAGAAAGCCTTACGCAAAAATATCACTGCATACCTTGGCTGACACCGACATCAAAGTAATAATAATTGTACAATATAGACATAACAGCTACAATAAAGGAGGTTTACTATTTTCAAGGAATTATTTCGTTACTTTTTAGTGCATTGTTTTTTTGAGAATATTTTGTTTTTAGTGTACTTTGTTGGGAAGTCGGTTTTTTTTAAAGTTTAATGAAAAAATGGTTTTTGTGCGACAACCTTAATAGATAAATATATGCTGTCGCGGACTTTAATTTACCAAATTTAAAGGGCTATAATTCTTCCAAACATTATTTTTATGTATATATAAGGAAGCAAAAATGACTACTAATAACTAAAATATTTAACTACGTCGTAGTCTTTAGCTCCAAATATCAACAAAAAAAAATGGAACCCACCTGCAAGCACTACCATTCTACATATGAGTGCCAGCAGACTGGATTGTAGATATATTAATCACTGCATAAAGCTGTATGTGGCAGGCGATAATTGTACATTTTAGAATCACATTTAGATGTATGTGTGACTAACATAGCAAAAAGACGTGTAGCTCGAAATAAAGTTTATTATTATTTTAAGTCTCCGTATATCTTTATTTCTTATTCTCTATATAATACATTTTACAAGATTATAAAAATGAAATAAAATATATATAAAAAATAGAGCACCACCGGCTGCGGAATCCGAAGACTCAAGCATGATCATTATGATTATTATTATTATGATTATTGTCTTAAAATCATATTTCAATATAGTCACCATGGCTAGAGAGGGAAAAATGTTACAATTATGGAGGTCTCGCACGCCTTCAAATTTTCGACAAGAGCTCTATCCTGTTCTAGTAATAAATTCATCCTAAAAAATGTTTTGATGTGAGAGTTTTCGATAGTTTTCCAGCAATAATTAGCAAACTATAAATCCTTCTAGCGCCCTTTGAATAAGGGTCGTCATATTTTCGATCAAGGAATCTGCGGTATTCCACTGCACGTTTTTTTTATACGCCTTTTCGTATTACGGCGACGAGACCTTTTCCCGGATACCGTGTAAAAATTTCTTGGCATACTATATAACAGACACTGGTGCGATATTTGACTCATTCAAGGTCAAAGGATCTTTTCGCGTATTTCGCCGAAACGGTTAATTGTACCAAAAAGTTAACTGTGACGAAGTTGTAGATCAAGAAATTGCCTAATAGCCATACATAGTTTTGTCACAAGAGCAAGTTTCTGAGATATAATGGTTTACACAGATGATTTGCTTGTCCAAATTCATCAAATTATTATACCCGATATATTGTAGCACAGTCCAAACCACTGGACCTAGACATGAAATTTTCCATAAACGTTTATATTACTTCATTAGGTGAGCACTATAAATCATAAGAATTTCACGAAAATCGTTCCGTAAGGTTTAGAACGGAGGTAAAACGTTGCATAGAAAGATGTTATTTTTTGGAATGCTGAAATTCTGGTTTTATTTAGTAACGATTCGATTTATTTTTTTAAATATTTATTCATGATTTGTCACATTAATTATTATCTACAATACAATATTCATCAATACAGCAATGCAATGCAAAATAAGAATACATGTAATAAATAATTTTATCACATTCAGCGTTACACATGATTCTCTCCACTTATTTCTAAACAGAAAACTGAAAATCACAAGATAAAAATAATCTACGAAAGTACACTGAATTTTAATGTTGCTAGAATTGAATTATTTTTTTTAATTGCATCGCCAAGTGTTCCTTAATATAAAGCTTACATCTAAATGTAAGAACGTACAAGAGATCTAGATAAACTCCGGTCTGATTATATTCCATTACATACAATAAAGAGAAGCTTAAATGTCCACCACTCCAACCATAGTGAAAATTAAGTTTTAACGAAATAAAAGATTAAAAATGGAGTGTCAATACGGAGAAAATAATAAACATCGGTAATACACATTGAAGATATTTTGATATTGATTTAAAACTAATAGGTTAGAACATAGATTTATAATCTATAGATTCGTAGTCTAACACAAGTCGACTTTTGAAATGTTATTTTGTATTGTAAATGACAATTTTTTCGCCTCTTTCTGTATCTATAGGTTATATATCTATCTATAACAATCAAATTCATGGACTCAAATGCATGAAGAGTATCCAGTCTTCTAATAATATGTAATAATAATAGGGGTCTTTAATAACAAAATGGTTTAGATTATCAGTACTCTTAAAATAGCTATACTAAGTCTTATAACGCGATCCATTTAGGAAAATAAATTTATTGTTAATCTTACATGGGTTCAGTAAAAATCATGAGTTAAAATATAAGTCATTAATAAATCGTAAGATTCAGATTGATTTCCACTATTACTAGTTCTCAGTAAGTTCAAGATCATTTTATATGCATTAACCATAGTGTTTACACTTTTTGCAATAATAAACATTTTATTATTTAAGATTCCAAATCTTCTATGTTAATGTTATAATAATAAAAAACTGCCGCAATTTCGTAAAACATAAAATTAGTAACTCTTACTCGTAGCTCGAATTATATTTTAATATAACGTGCTGTGTGGTCACGTCACATAGTCAAAAATATAATACGATTAAAATAAAAAATAATGAAAATAAAGGTAAACTTTAGTTAAGTATTATCCTTTTGTTTTTTCATCGCCTAGTTTTGTTACAATTACAAACATGCAGCGTAAAATAATACTATTAACTGTAACGGAACTAATAAGTTCATTTATAATTACAAAATATTTAGGCCTTCTTTCGGATTATTATGAATATCGCCATGAGTTATATCACGTCAATGACCGGTGGTTCCATCAGTTGATAAACGCCCAGCACTAGAGCGTAACTCGCGACGTGGACCTGATGTTGAATTTTCTTCAGAGGATTTACGACCTTTCTTTCTGTTTCCTCTCTTTGTGTTATCATTAGAAGGTAGTTCAGAGTTATTTTCATCGTTGCCTACCTCTAGTTTTTTGTCAGTGTCAGTAACAATATTTGTGCAATCAAGAATTAATGAATTATCGTCACTGCCGCGTGCGCCACTTTCATCCATGCCAACATTACTATGCTTAAATTGTTTATCTTCTTTGTCTATATTCAATGACATTAATTGGGAAGAGGAATCGCCCAGTTTAT